AATATTTTTTATAATGAAAATGTACAAAAAATTTATTAAAAATATTTAAGAGATATATTGGATGAGATATTTATAAATAAATAATTTTGAAAAAAACTTGGTGAAAAATGAACCAAATAGAGCCTAGGTTCCCAAATTTCTCGAATTGTAATGTTCAGATGTAATTGCCTAAACCATGACGATTTACACCTCTTTTTATGCATATGAATCCGCTCATTCCCTATTCATCTCCCCGAGAGTTCTTACCCAACCAGCAACCAATTGGAACAGGGCCAACAGCCGTCGTGAATAGACAGTAACATGAGTTGCTCTTCCTCTAAACTCTCTCCAGCAATAACTTTGGCAAAACATTATTAATCGTAACTAGTAAGAGCAAAAAGTTAAAAATAATGAATAATTATCAAAGAAAAAATTATGACTAACTGTTAATAAGTGTAATAACTCATGAATTAAAATCTAGTAGTAATAAACTGCGAAATTTCATATAGTTTAAAGACTTTCGGAGGAATTCACTCTTATAATATCTCGTCATAATAAAATGTAGTGTATAAATTTTACTACAACACTTTTGTGTAAGAATTATTATAATTTATGCAACACTTTTGTGTAAGAATAATTATACTAGTATTTATTAGAAGGAAAAAGATATGTATAGTGGGAAAAAGGACAACCCCCGAGTTATGTCCAAAGGACAAATTGCCCTCCGATATTTCTTATAAGGACAATAACCCCCTTGACTGCTAGGTTAAAGGATAACATGCCCCCTACATTAGTAAATCTTAGTGTGAAAAGATAGAAATACCTTTAAATCTGAAAAGAATTTTTTTTTTTACACCAAACTTACCTTCCAATCAACTCGTTTATTTTTTAAAAATTATAAATTCTATTATTTGCCATTTTAAATCCGCTGTTGACTCCATGCTAATGCATTATTTCTCCCTATCACTGTTGCCTCAATAAAAATAAACCCAAGATTGATAATTTAATCTATCTAAACCATAAAAATAAACCCGAGATATGGTTTAGATAGATTAAATTCTCAATCTCGGGTTTATTTATATTGAGATTCTCAATATCGGGTTTATTTTTATTGAGACGATATTGATAAGGAGAAATAATACATCAAAACAAAGTGAGCGGCAAATTTAATTGGAACCAAACTGTTTAAAGATTTTTTTAAAAAAGAAAATAAACGAATTGTTTGGAGGGTATGTTTGGTCTTGAAAAAGATTATTTTTCGATTTAAGGGTATTTTTATCTTTTCGCACTAAGATTTGCTGATACAAGGGCAAATTGTCCTCTGACTTGGCGATCAGGGGGGTTATTGTCCTTATACAAAATGTCAGGGGACAATTTATCTTTTGGACATAAATCAAGGGGTTTTTATCCTTTTTCCATGTATAGTGTCTTTATGAGAATTTGACGTTTTGATGTAATTTTATTCTCTTAAACTTGTAAAAAAATCTTTTTAAAAATATTATTATTAGTTTAAGAAACATGTAAACTTAGTTTAAATAGTGTTACAAAACGATCAAGTGAGATTTTTGTTTCTTTTTTGGTCACAACTATGTACATATATTATATGATTTGTGATATTGCCAAGCCTATTATTAGTCTCCAGAGCAAAAATTATCATAATTTCCTAAAATATCTTTAAACAGTCAAACATGATCTTCTTTCATCTCTTTTGCCCCCAACTTAAACTTTTTGCAAGTTATTATCTTCTTCCTCCCAAAAAAAGAATTATTCCCGACTATCAACAATTTGGTTAGTCCTCACCTTATGATAAACCAGCAACACTATCATTATTCATATTCTCCATCCTCTCAATCATGAGTCCTAGCTTTCAACTCGAAAATTCAATCTTTGACATTTGCATCTTCTTCCATAAAAATTCAAGGACAGACAATTTTGTTCTATTGAAGATTTGAATTCTTCTGTTTATATTAGTAAGAAAAGTTGAATAAATTTATAACTTTGCCATTATAGAAAATAAAAGATACCCAGAAGATGAAGGGATTTTATGGATTTACGAGGGGAAGGGGAAAAAAGAAAACAGAGGAATGGGGATTTATTTCAAGAAAAGAAGAGGGTTTTTATGAAAATTAGGTAGGTGGTTTTGAAGTTAATTTGATGGTGTTCATAACTCCCATCTTCAGCGATATAATTGAGTATGTTGATTTCATAGATTTTGTACTGAGCGAATGGAATTAAAAGGAAATGGTGGAATTTGCTACAACTTTTATGAGAAAACCTATTTTTCTTGTGGTTCTTATGTGGAACCTTTGTTCTTCTTCACCATCTTCAGGAACGAGAGAGGTTAAAACAAATGACTAATGTCTCAATGAAGCTTAACTTGTCCCGCACAATAAATTTGATTAACTTGCACTAGTTTTTTTTTTTTTAATGAAATTATGGTGTCTGTAACATAATAAAAAATATTATAGTCTTTAAAATTGCAAGAAGTTTCTATGATAGGGAGTTATATAATTATTAGAAGTTTGTACAGAGTCATCTTACCAACAACAACAGAGAAAAAAGAGCTAGAAATTTTGCATTTTGGAGATCCAGAATCAACGAAGCAGGGAAAGAGGGTAGTTTTATTTATTTATTTATTTATTTTTTGACCTTTTAAAGGTAATTTAGGAAATGATGGCACTTTTTGTTCTGGAGGCTAATTATTACCTTGGCAATATCGCTACCCATATTATATATATATACATGTGTGTATGCGTGTAAAACTAATCCCTATTGAAAAAATTGGAATTTTGTAAAAGAAGGTTGAGAACCACTTGTTTGGGATTTCTTATCCAGTGGTCCTAAAAGGTACTATACATTATATGTTCCAATGTCACCATCTTCAACAACCATTCTCATTTTATTGCAAAAATTTTAACCAAAAGACTTCATAATGGTAAAAATCACCATCAAACGTGTTTTACATTCACAAAAAACTGCCATCAATTCTCTAACATATAGTATAACATTACCAACGTAGATTATTAAATTTGAAAAGAATTTATATTTCATTTTTCTCCTTTCTTTTTCAATAAAACTCAGCAAAGGTCTTAAAACAATTTTTACTAATGCAATTTCTTCAAACTATCTATTTTTCTAATCGATCACTGCGGGATCGAGCTTTCATGTTGGACCAAACCAAAATGAGAGATATTTTAGTAACAAAAAAGAAAAAAAAAACGATGGTAAAGTTGAACACGTTACAAATTTAGTTTAAAAGGGAATCTTTGGAGTCTAACTAAATTAAATATACAAAGTTGCATGTTACATGATGCTAGCAAAAAGCTAACGAATTGTTAAATGACACAATTACAATTAAAAGAAACCACAACCAATAAGTCCAATGAATCCTTAAAACATTGGAAAGTGACAAATTGTTTCCAGCTTAGATTTTCCAAAACTTTTTCCCTAATTCCAAGTTCCAACATCTGTCGTTAAAAAATCAAATAATAATACAAAAACAAATACCTGATCCAAATGATAGCGTACCGAGCAGTTTAATTAAGACCCGAGTTTAAATTCAGGTACAAATATGTAATCATAGTGATCAAAATGCTTATTAAGAGAGTAAGAATCTGCCTAACTCTAATCTGGATCAATACTTATTTAGTGAGTTTTACTTTTTGAAATAGATATACTCGACTCTAATATAAATTTGTGATACACTGATCCCGAAGTTCAAACACCGAATGCTTATATATATATATATATATATATATATATATATATATATATCGAACGAAATCAAACAATAATCATTTCATAAATCTTATCTTACATTATTAAAATCATGGTTCCCAACGACTAACATTATTCTTTCTTTCTTGTTCTTGTTCTTGATAAAATGATAAACATTTCAACCCCTCCTTTTGAGGCCTTAAAGAAACCAAACACCATTTTCCGCCACTCAAAACACAACACCCCTATCTGGTATGGAAAAGTCACCCAAGACTTTCCCATGTCCACTCATCAATCATCAGCATTTGATCATCCATCCCATAAAAATATAAAAACATCCATTCCATTTTCAGCCACTTGTCCTTTCCTCTTCTTCTCTTTCTTCATTTCTGCCACACTTGAAAAGATTTCTTGGGTTCAACTTGGAAGTCAGAAGTTCTGCTTCCATTTGGCAGCAAATTTTGCTGATCTTCTTCAAAGTCATTTTTGTTGAAGTTTTACTCTCAGGTATGCATGACATTATATCATGTAGTATAGTAATCTCTGCTAACATGATTAAAAAAGTGGTATCTTTTAGTGGGTTGTTAGCACTAAGCTATAAGCATTACAGAGAAGTGGGAAAAAGTAAACACATTTTCCCATATTTTAGTTCACTGATTTGTAGATCCCTGTAAAGTTAACTTCTTTTTTTTTTTTTTTTGTTTTTCTAATTTCACTTGCCCTACTGTTTCTTGAAACTCAATCCATATAGAAAGAACCCACAATTTAAAAATCTGAATTTTTTGGCAAAAAAGGGGTGTAAGATTATGAAAGGAACAGATGAATGCAAAAGTTACATTGATAAAAAAAATGCAGGGAGAAGAAATCCTGTTTGGTAGTTGGGAAAGGTGGCAGGGGTCTCGTGATGTCCCAGTATATTCAGTTTAATTAAGTGGGTCAAACCAACCAATCAAGAATTTATTGCGAATTCCATCAGTCAAATAATGAATCTTTTTACCGGGACAATGACATATTATGATTCAAAGGCAGATTCTTGCTTTCTGAATCTGTGAAATTTGAATGATCTTGTAGTTTTTTTAGATTTTGAAAGATGGTAATACTTGTAGAAGTTTTACTGGAGAGATATCATAATGATCATCTTTTTTATCCCAGAAATTGTTCATCTTGACAAAAGCATGCAAGAGACTGATTAAAAACCTTGTGTTGAACCTAGCATGGACTGACTAAAAAGTTCATCTTTTGATTAGGCATTCAAAGAACTAAAACTCCTTTTCTACCCTTAAAATTTCTCTTAGGATTTGAAAATGGCACAAATCTTGGCCCCTTCTCCACAATGGCAAATGAGGATTCCTAAGTGCTCAGTGGATGCTAGTCCATTGACTTCCAAGATGTGGAGCCCACTTGTGTTGAAACAGAACAGCAGCAAAGGTGCAGTTAAGACTTCTGCCAAGTTTAGAGTGTTTGCCCTTCAATCAGATGGTAGTACAATTAACCGGGTGGAGCAATTGCTTAATCTGGATGTTACTCCATACACTGATAAAATCATTGCTGAATACATCTGGTAAATCCCTTTCCAGTTATGTGCCGTAAATTCTTGCAATAACAAAATGTGGTTCACTTGGTCCTTAGAGTTTAGCACATTTTCTCGGTTTTGTTGGGGAGCAGTTCAACATTGTGTTTCCTGGGCATGCTGATATTTTTATGGCTCTCTACACCCTAAATTGTCTTGATTTGATCTTTAAAATATTTCCTTGTCTCAAAGGATTGGAGGATCAGGGACTGATGTCCGTAGTAAATCAAGGGTATGTGATGTTGATGCTTTCTGATCAATATGTGGATTAGACTTTCGTTACGAAGATGTCATCTTCTGTTATTATATCTGAGTTTTGTTCCATTTCAGACTATCTCAAAGCCAGTTGAGCACCCATCTGAGCTCCCTAAGTGGAATTACGATGGTTCAAGTACAGGACAAGCACCGGGAGAAGACAGTGAAGTTATCTTATAGTAAGAATGTAGAATGCAGATGAGGTTTATTTATGCTCACAAATTACTTGAGCTTGACTTGGTTTGCTTGTAGTCCTCAGGCGATTTTCAAGGATCCTTTCCGAGGGGGAAACAACATTCTGGTGAGTCTCAATGAATTCATAACTTGTGGTTTGTGGGGGTGATTAAGTGGAACTGTTTTTGCACGTGTTGATTTTGTTTATTCGGAATTCTTGTGACGCTAAGTTGATAAGTCTGACATATCTTCATTTATGTTGCTTAAATAGGTTATATGCGACACTTACACACCAGCTGGTGAGCCCATTCCAACGAACAAGCGTCACAAAGCTGCTCAGATATTTAGTGACCCCAAAGTTGTTTCAGAAGTACCATGGTAAACTTACTTTGCCGTTTCTCCTTAATCTTACGTAATGGAATTTAATGAAAGTACGTCACCTGAATCTCCTTTTGAAAAGGCTTATACTTTGTTAAACATCCATATGTCGTATTTTATTGTTTCATTCAAAATGCTTACTGGTAGTTGAACTTGAAACAGGTTTGGGATTGAACAAGAATATACCTTACTCCAGAAAGATGTAAACTGGCCTTTGGGTTGGCCCGTTGGAGGCTACCCTGGTCCTCAGGTAATTTGGATTACCCTATAGAATCCTTCAATCCAGAAGAACTTGCTGCTGCAAGAGCAAGTTCTGACACTTACTGTTCCTGTCAGCTTTTTGGAACTAAAATTTAGAGGCTTGATATAGTTGAATTGTCTTTCATGAGTTGTCACTGAACTGATAGCTTTCGCATTGTCCAGGGTCCATACTACTGTGGTGCTGGAGCAGATAAGTCATTTGGAAGGGACATATCAGATGCTCACTACAAGGCTTGCTTATATGCTGGTATCAATATTAGTGGCACCAACGGAGAAGTTATGCCTGGGCAGGTGCTATACCATCTCCTTGTTTTAGTCTCAGTATATACCTTAGTTGTGAGATTTAATGTGTTGGAATGTACTCTTTTCTTTTCTCTCCTCATTGTTTTACAAGTTCTTGTGTTAGTATTTACCTAGTTAAATCCCTGATTCAACAATTACTTGGCAGTGGGAATTTCAAGTAGGTCCTAGTGTGGGAATTGAAGCCGGAGACCACATTTGGTGTGCTAGATACCTTCTTGAGGTAATTACATTTTCTTCTATCAGGACTCAAAAGATCTGCCCAGAACGCTCTTATATACATATCAAAAGCTAAGCTTTGACTCAGAATTTATCTCATTGGGCAAATAAGGACACTTACCCTAGAACTTGAAAGGACATGCATCTACTTCTCATAGTTGCTTAATTAATTTATGATGGATGCTAATGGATTTGACAGAGAATCACCGAACAAGCTGGCGTTGTTCTCAGTCTTGATCCTAAACCGATTGAGGTACTGCAGAGCCTGTTTTTCTTGCAACTCCTTTATGTGTCAATCCTTTGGATTATTCAGGAAACTTATCTGCAAACCTTAAATTTTACAGGGTGACTGGAATGGTGCAGGATGCCACACCAACTACAGGTTCTTTAGGAACTTTGCATGATGTAACATTCAATTTAGAATATAAAACTTTGTAGGGTGAAGGATATATGGCAGACAAAATGTGTAGGCTTTAAGTATAGGTAACTGGATATCACTAAACTTGTAGTTAACTTTGACATGCAGTACCAAGAGTATGAGAGAAGATGGAGGTTTTGAGAAGATAAAGAAAGCAATTCTCAATCTGTCCCTACGACACAAGGAGCACATTAGTGCTTATGGAGAAGGAAATGAAAGAAGGTTGACTGGAAAACATGAGACTGCTAGCATCAACACATTTTCTTGGGTATGCTCTCCCCATTCATAAAATGGTGTCTGTATATGCTTGATATCTCTCATTATCATGCCCTTACTCCTATTTAAAAATTTAAATTCTATTCTTCAGGGAGTCGCAAATCGTGGATGTTCAATTCGTGTGGGGCGTGACACTGAGAAGAACGGGAAAGGTTAGGACACTGTTCTGTTAGCTGCAATAGCCGTTGAGTGACAATCTCATGAATTAACTTTATTTATTTATTTTCACTTTCCTGTTATGTATTAGGTTATTTGGAAGACAGGCGTCCTGCTTCCAACATGGACCCTTACGTCGTGACAGGATTACTTGCCGAAACTACAATCCTATGGGAGCCTACACTTGAGGCAGAAGCTCTTGCAGCTCAGAAACTTGCATTGAAGGTTTAAACCGCTGAAGCCGGAAGTTCTTGAATTGGACATGGTTAACACCACACTGATAAGCTTGTCCTTTTCTTTGTCATCCAAATGAGGAAAAACTGTATAAATGAGGAACCTGAACCTGGCCGTCAGCTATGCTTAAGCTTTGGAAACTGGTTCCTTTTGATGTGCCAATTGTTTGGGATCAAGGGGTTCATGATTCTGGTTGTCATACATTAATGACACTTCATTCTTGTATTTTCTGTTATATCACTGCTCTTAATGATTCCATTTGGTTCTTTTTAGCTTTCCATACATGGTGGTTAAGCATCACATTACCAACAAAATGATGTTTTTGACATTTTATGAATCTGCTAATAATCCGGGGATAATAAAAAGAGAATGAATACCTACCTAGTGGAAATTCTTATGACTTTTCACCGAAAGAACAGTGGATAAATTCCTGAAACGATTCTCTCTAATCTGATTCTCCATAAAAGTTAAAAAGTACTATCATTCTGCATGCAACATTCATGAGCTGGATCACCAACAATATCAATGGTCCTGGATTCCTGGTAATTGCATAAAGCCATTCACATAGATCACAATTGGTACTTTTAATATGCACTTTTTCTGTGTTAAAACATTGTAGGCCAGAGAGATTCTTTCCCTCTCCATAAGGTAAACTCAGGCTAAGGCCAAGGAATTTCAGCATTTCTTTGAACTGAAGAGACCAACACATAATCTTCTAACAAACCAACCTGTAGTTTTAAGCCCAAGTTTGGAACATTCTCACTTATAAATGTTCTCAGCTGCTCACAGAAAGGCTGTGATCAAACAAAGACAAATTCGAAGGCCATGGCATCAGGAGTAGGCAAATCAGCAGCATTCACCCTTCTCATTCTCAATTGCTTTCTGTATTTCGTCGTTGCTGCGCTCTCAGGATGGGCAGTAAATCACGGGATTACAAAAGCTCGCGAAACTGGTACAACAATCACACTCTTTACGGCTAAATATATCTAAACTCAATTTATCCAAGCACGATCATTTATCTGATGTCGTAAAAACTGCTTGCAGCTTCTCAGCTGACAATCCCGGCGCATATATTTCCTATATACTTCCCCGTTGGGAACATGGCAACCGGTTTCTTGATCATTTTCTCCCTCATAGCCGGTGTTGTGGGATTCGTTTCCTCAATTTCTTCAATGCTAAATGTCATTCAATGGAATCTCCCTAACTTGCACTCAGCTGCAGCCACATCTATGATTACTTGGCTACTTACACTACTCGCAATGGGGTAAAAAAGCATCAAATTTCCTCCAACATTTCAGTTTTTCATCAAGAATTTGTCACAACTACTGAATGTTCTGAATCATCTGCAGGGTGGCTTGCAAAGAAATACGCTTGGGACGGACTGAATCAAACTTGGTAAACACCTCATGTTTTTTTTTGAGAAATTTTAGGATTAAACTGAGAATCAGTCAAGTGTTTCTGACATACTATATGATCTGCCATTTTCTTGCAGAGGACCTTAGAGACCATGTTGATCATTCTGAGTGGGACACAAATGTTTACTACTGGTGCCATTCATGCAGGGATTGAAGATCTTATTGCCAGAGAGGAGATCATCAGAGGACGCTTATAGTAGTTTGCATCAAACAAACTCAATCCAAAATCTCTGAAGATTTTTACTCTACAAGATTCATCTTTTGCTTGTTTCCCTTGTCTTTTGATTCCGAAGATCCCGGTTTTTGTGCAGCAGCTCTTGTAACATCATCAGCAATGTGTGTAATGGTTTGAATGAATAAATATACTCTGATTATGCATTCCTTGGGCGCTTTCTTAATTCATGTCCAAAAATGACTCATTTGATAAAATTCATGTTCGGAGCTGTCAATAAATAAATATACATACCATTTTCTGAAAATTAACTAGGGAAACCTTTACTAACAAGGAAGAAGGGATGAACATCATGCAATCTTTGGACAATGTTGATCATTTTTTGTTTTCTTTAAAGATGAAACTCTCGACAATTCTGAAAATTAAGAACACAACCAAGAGTAAATCACGGTCTAAGATGATGAAGATTTCTCTGAAATATTACACCTTAGCTTCGTTTATTACTTTTGGTATAAAGTCCTTTTGGATGGTTTTTTTTCCATCTTTTAACTTTGTACCCAAAAAAAAAAAAACCCAAAATTCACAAAAAAGAAAATCACTCCATAACAGCAAAAAGGAAAAATACAGAAGCAGTGAAATATAGGTTCAAGTTTGGATCTTTTCAATAAAAAAAATAGCCCTTTCTGTAATTTTTCATTTTATTTTTAATGTTTGAAAAACTCATTAATAATATCTACATGTCCCAAAAACAAGATTAAAAAAATAAAGGGAAAATAAAATGGGGGATAAAAAAGCACTGTTCTTGAACTGCGTTTGAAACATCATACAAAAAACCCCTCCAAATGTCCAAACTACTGTCAATCTGATCCCCATGAACACTCAACTTCTGCTCCACACTCATCCCCAACAAAGACTCCCTTCTCTTCTTCCTTCTTCTTCTTCTTCCCTTGTTTTGATCAGGCCATTAGTCAAACCAATTTCCAAACCTCAATTGGGTCCAAATTCAAGAACCCAACTTTGCTTTCTTCACAAACGCCACCATAAGTTGAGGCCCCTCATCAAATGCGCTGCAAGCAATGAAGGTATTGATGGCACCAAAAGCTGGGAAAAATGGGTTCCAAAAGACTTCCTTGTAGCTGATAAAGTATTTAGATGGATTTCTGAGACAACTTCCAGTCCCATTGTTCAGTATATATCTTCACCAACTACTTTCTTGCACTCTGTGGATTCTAGGATTAAATTGGTATGGATTTCCTAGCTTTCTTTTTGTAATAATTGGTTATATGCCCTGGAGAATTTTTTATTTTGGTTAGTTTTAAATCCAGGGTTGTTCTGTTTCTCTTGATTCACTTTGGGATTTTCCTTTTCCTGAATTTTGTGAATACGAATCGACGGGTTATTGGAATAATCTCTTCACAGTTGCTTTGTTTAATTAAGTCAGAAAGGAGACATCTTGATATCTGACTGCTAGCTGAAAGAATGAATAAAAATTGTCTTTTTCACTTTTACTTATCTGTACTTGATGTGTTTATTTGATGGGAGTCTGTGTTTTTTTTAGCTGTTAAATGTCGGTGTCCTAGTTAAATGTAAGGGAAAAATATTTCAATTTCCGGATTCAGGATTCTTACACAAGTACACTAAATATGTTCGAGCATTGTAAATTCTTCAGTTGTCTGTTAATATGTTGAGACTAGTTTCTCTTCTTGAAGGAGAAGGGGAAAGAAAATTAAAAAGGAAGCTCTATATACTTGCTGACTGAGAGCTAGATAGAATTGAAGTGAATTCTGCCTTAAGAGTTGATCATGTCTTGTTGTGTTTTCATTTGCAGGCATGGCTCCTTGTGCTTGTTGTTTTGCCTGCTCGCTCACATATTTCTGTGCGCTTTGGATTAGTCATTTTCCTAAGTTTGCTATCCGTGTGGACGCAGCCTAAGCAAGTCTGGATGGTAAGTGATTTCATGTTTTTGAATTTAATATGATCCCATGAAAGATAATCATTCTTTCAGCCTAGAGAAACATTTTTTGTCTGCTTGGTCAATGAAGAGGCCACTAAACGGACTAAGGTATATCTTTTGGTTTTCATGGTCATCCATAAGTAAAGGAGTTATAAGAGAAATATCAGCCTTCTGAGCAGTCTGAGTGTCTTTTTCGTGTTTCATTTTATTTGTTATTGTATGTATGATGTTTGCAAAATGTTTCATAAGATGTTGGCGATGTTCTTATGGAAATTAACTATATCCATTTTTGTCATAGGATCAATTGGGGCGTGTGACCGTGCTTTCTGGGATCTTGTTTATAATGTTGAGCTTGGCTTCTGACAGTGCCACTTTCCTCAGTTTTACCAGATATCCTCCACAACTGGTGACGGGTTTGCCAAATCCGAATTCTGTGGAAGCTTATTCCTATGCACTCATGAAGTTTGGACCCTTGAAAATGACAAGGAAGGGCTTGTCAACAGCTAGTACATCAGCATGTTTGACCTTTACAGTGAGTTCTCTGATATTTCTAATTTTAATTCTTTTGATTAATGGGCTTGTGGGAGTAAATGTGAGCACATCTTTGCATGTGGCGTGTAAGTCATTAGTTAATTTTTGCTAAAGTAAATGTTATTAGCAGCTCGAGAAGTTGTGAAAGATGGCATATGCATGATATAAGTTATTCTATGCTGCCTTCAATACGATGAGAAAGTTTGCATTCTGCCTTACTGCAAATTATTTCATTGACTTGTTCAGCTTGAATTGCACATTTTCTGAGACATTGGCATCTGTTTGTATGAAAGATCTTCCAAAGTGCAAGCCTCTGCTTAACAAGTACAAGACCAGAACAGCTTGCATTTGCCCTCCAGTGGTTCATTCAACCTCTCAAGCATTTCGGGTTGCCAGTGGCAGAAGTCATCCTCACTCTCCTGCTGTCTTTAAGGTTCATCAATTTGGTATTTGACGAGGTACAAAATACTTGAGTTTTTTTTATGAACGCTACTCTCTTAAAATGGATTTATGATCAAGTTTCACCCCTAACCCTGAGATAGGCATTGCTTAAATGTTCTCACTTTTTTTGGTTGTGAACAGGTTCGTAATGTTGCTTTGGGCATTGTATCTCGCAGAATAAACTGGAAGCTCTTGACCACTATGGAGACCATTGATGGTAAGGACAAATTAACTTATTCAGTATGACGTGATATTTTTTTTCTTTTCTAGTTACATAATGTGACCTTTTCTAAACATTAATCCTGTATTGAAGTTGTCCTGGTTTGTTCACCTTTCCCTTAGCCCATTCATATGGTAAATTCATGATGTTAATAGTTATTTCCTGCTGCAAATGCCCCATACTAATTTCTGAAAGACCAACTCTCATGCTCTGCAGTTTTTGTCTCTTATATTCGACGTATATTCAGAAATATCTTCAGCCACTCGGAGCAGATATCTCAGGTTTGAATTTCTTCTTGCGATTCTCCTCTCTAGTTGAGTGCTAGAACTTATTGGTCATTCGATGCTGAGTTTTGAAAACCTGTTCAACGAATGAGTTGATTTCATATTAGGGCCTCTTATCTAAGCTAATTTATTTGATGCTGTACAGGCCATGATTGTAAGAGGTTTTCGAGGAGACTGCAAAACACACAGACTCATTTTGTCAGCCGATGCATCTAATGCAATCGCCAACATTTTATCCTTGCTTTGCCTGATTGGTCTTGTCGGAACTGCAACATGGTCTAAGAATCTCATCTTATAAAAGAAACATAAATTTTCTCGTCCCCTCCCAGGTAAATTTGTACCCCGATGTATCTCATGTCTCGCATCTACGGCCTGAGATTCAGGAGGAATCTACCTACTTAGCCAACCCGATAAAATGGGTGGCTCCTCGTATTATCTTCCGAGCAATGTTAGTTGCATCGGAATACAAGAATTGTATGAAAATGAAAATCCAAACTAGACCATTATTTTGAGACGAACAGAGTCGTACATATCAAAAGGTGTTTACATTTGCATTGTTGGTTTACTGTTCATTTTCTTTCCAAGATTTTTTCTTAAGTTAATCATGACGGTACCTAGCTGGTATATGTCCCGACTTTATTCGTATACTGAAATTATTACAAGGAGCCGTGTCTAAGATTTGGCAATTGAAAATATGCCAGAGGGGGAACAAAAAAGAAAAAAGAAAAAGAAAAAGAGAAATTACATCAATCCTGTTCTCAAACTCGCAAACAAGGAAAAGGGGGGTCTCAAGATACAGTAAATAAGATTGCGTCGAGATTAATGTCTGGGAAAATCTAATCACCTTACCCCACTGAACTATTGATGTCTAAAATTAGGATGAGGAACATCAATTTTTTTGTGGACTAGAATATCTTGCATTCTTCAAGGCAGACATTTGTAGATCTGATACTTTATTGAAAAGCTTCAGGTCAGAAACATGGAGTTTCCTACAGTGGCGTTATCCGTCCATTTCACCGGTGCGCCATCTATTTAATTGCATAGATGAAATGGATGAGGAAGAACATGAGTTGTTCTGTTTATGTTTGAAGTAAATGAGGTTGGTTTGTGTATGATCTTGCACATATTTTAGTCATTCTGCTTTTGTTGAAGTTCACTGGATGATCATCCAGTTCTGGTTTAGTATTACAAGTGTTTTGGTTAGAAACTCCAAGGCTTATAATGACATTTTGCATACAGAATGCATATATTTCAATTGTTATTATAAAAATGAAATAAATGCCCAAAAAGTGATTAGCTTTGAAATAATGGTGTTCTTTGGAGATTCCATTATGTGATCTTTTTTTGTTTTGGCTACTAGACACATTGTTTATGATAGCAAATTGCATCTTTGACCCTAATGCCTGAAAAATTTATGATAGCAAATTGCATCTTTAATCACCTTACCAAATCAATTTCTGTTGTTTTCAGACCATCTACCTAAATTCATTTTAACGTTTTCAGGACAAGAATCTGTCTATTTGCTTGTTTTTTTTTTTTTTAAGGAAGGAAAAAAAGGAAGTCTTTTTTGTTGTGTCTAAAGTTGGAGAATCTGTCTACAGCAGCTTCTAGTTGGGAGTTATGGAGAAACCGGCTGTTGAATTCATCTCTGATTGTTTTATCAAACCGAAACACCTTCTTCCAGAATCAAATCAGGTGATATTCTTGTCACCATTTGATCTTGCATTAGCCTTTGTTCATTATATGCAGAAAGGACTCCTCTTCGCCAAGCCTCCATCATTCGATCAGGATCAGATGCAGGATTTCCTGTTGAAACTGAAAAAGGCTCTTTCTTTGAGCCTTGTTCATTTCTATCCACTGGCGGGTCGTCTTGAAACAGTTCAATTGGAAGAGGATCCGCGTAATCTGGCTGTTTATGTGGATTGCAACAAAGGACCTGGCGCGAGATTCGTTCATGCATCAGTAGCCTTGAGCTTGTATGATATTGTTTCGCCAACTGATGTTCCATCAATTGTGAAATCATTCTTTGATCACGAGGATGTGATCAACTATGATTGTGGAGACCAGTCTCTGCTAACCATTCAAGTCACTGAGTTGACTGATGGCATTTTCATTGGGTGCTCCATGAACCATATGGTTGGGGATGGAACATCTCTGTGGCATTTCTTGACCTCATTTTCTCGGATGTTTAAATCCATCGGGAGTGGTACTGAAATCGCCTGACTTCCTACATATGACTAGCTGTTTCCTGAGGGAATCGGTCCCCTTATGAAACTACCGTTTGTTGATCAACACGATGATGACGACAAAGGCAGCAATAGCAGAGATGGAGGACAGCCAAAGATGGTCATCAGGGAAAGGATTTTCCATTTCTCTTCAGAATCAGTTGCTAAACTCAAAGCGAAAGCAAATGCCGAATGTTGTGGTGGTATGATGAGAAGCATTTCATCTTTGCAGGCATTGTCAGCTCATATTTGGAGATGTATTACAAGAGCTAGGAACCTTTCCTCTGATGGAACAACAATTTTTGAGTTCACTGTGAACTACAGACCAAGATTAGTTCCACCTTTGTCCGAGAACTGGTAACTATTTGTTGCCTACGAAAACAGCTGTCTCTTGTGGCGAACTGCTGGAAAAGAGCCTTGGATGGGCTGCGCTGTTATTGCATGAGGTGGTTAACAGTAAAACAGATAAAACTGCTCGTGATTATATCGAATCATGGAGGGCGCCGGCATCACTTGTCGCGCGCCTTGGGTTAAGTACTGATGCGTCTAATACTAGCAGTGGCATACTTTTGGCAGGATCTCCAAGGTTCAACATGTATGGAGTTGAGTTTGGTCTCGGAAAAGCCCTACCTATTCGAAGTGGAATTGGTAATAAGTTTGATGGGAAAATCACTGTGAATCCTGGGATTGAAGGAGGAGGCAGCATGGATTTAGAAATCTGTCTTGCGCCTCATGTAATGAATTCTCTAGAGGCTGACAAGGAGTTCATGGATACTGTTTCTCTGTAGAAAAACCCAATCAATATTACTCCCTCCATCCCAAATAGAAGTAAAATAATATAGTACTACATGTTTGTATTCTTAGACAGAGTATGTTTTGGCTCACATTAATGTGCATTATCAAATAACCATGGAAGAAGCTAGCTGCACTTGGACTGCAGATTTATTGAGTGTTTTGTTTCTTTGGTACTGAGTAGACTGATGGCCTTTTGCTCCATGAAACCATATGGTTGGTGATGAAACATCTCTGCTGCATTTCTTGACTTCATTTTCTCAGATGTTCAAATCCAACCGGACTGACACAGAAATCGCCCCACCTCCTACATATGACAAGCTGTTTCCTGAGGGAATCAGTCCCCTTCTGAAGCTAACATTTGTTGATCAGCATTATGATGACCAAAACAGCCAGTAGAACAGATGGGAGGACAGCCAAAAATGGTTATCAGGGAAAGAACACCGTAATGAAAGTAACGGTAATAACATTTCGATACATCCATTTCCATTACGGCGCAAAGAACGCACCCAAAGTGAAAGCAAATGCTGAATCTAACAGCAAATTAGGTCACTTCTCAGATGTTCAAATCCAACTAAAGTTTGGTTTGTTAAATTACAACAGACAAAAATTCTATAAATAGTGATTTACATTTTGGTCAGAGATTAATTTTTGTCATTTATATGGCCACTTTTATCATTTCACGTGATTTTTATAGTCGAAGATATTGTATTACAATTTAAGTTTGATGCAATCTTGCTAAATTAAGATTTATCTAACACGTATAGACAAAATTGGAAACAAAAATGCTCTTTTATGGCCAGATGGAAGAAGTTTGAGACATATGGTAATGACTCCTTGTAATTAATTTGTAATTTTCTCAATTGATCTAATTGCCATGAGCATTTTCGATACTAAAAATTTCCTTTGTTTTTCTGAAAAAATTAAAATTAAGAAAATAATCAATAATAATCTAAAATTATCTTAGTAAAAATATTTTTTAAATAAATTACGAATACAAAAATCTGGAAAAAAAAATTATAGTCTCAGGTCTCACTATGAAAATTATCTTTGTGCCCAATTTGATTCTTTTAAGAACATACCATAAGTTTCTGCCACTGGTTAAAGGATGTTTTTTTTATAAAAAAAAATTCGTATAGTCATTAAAAATTCTCGAAATTGATCGTTTTAGTGCTAAAATTTTTATATAACTAAGGAAAAGAAAAAAAATCCAAAGTGATCTGGTTGACCAAGATAATGGTGAGATTTGCTAATTTATTATTCGACGGATGAAATTGAGCAATGCGTGATACTTCCGGTTACGGTTGGACCGACACGAACCAAAAAATGTGACACTGTAGGATAACATGGATACCTCAAAATCGCGAACTAAAATCGAAATCGATGTCAAAACTTTGGACTAATTTTTAAGAGCAATCATACCGCCAGTGAAAAAGTATAATGAAAATTAATAATGACTGATGTGTCTTCGCTAAAAAGTAAAAGTGCAAGTTTTTAAGAGAAAGAGTCAACTTAGTCGCTATTTAGTTATTATATTTATTACTCCCTCCATTCACAAATAGATGTCGCTGGAGAGATTTCACAAAGTTTAAGGAGGCAATAATTATCTTGTTAAAATACTATAATACCCTCATTTATTCTTAATTCAATTGTAGTCCCAATAAAATTCACTTCTAATACAATTCTACATTAAACATCACAACAATTTCCAATGTAAGGGTGATATTGGAAAAAATTGACAAAATATGCCTCGATTTGTGAGAACGACATCTATTTTGGAATATTTGAGTTTTCCTCCAACGACATCTATTTGTGAATGGAGGGAGTATTTTTTAATTTTTATTTATGGAAAATCACAAAACACACTAGAATCCAATGGGCAATATTGTCCAATCATATTGTGGTGCCAAGCCCAAGCCCTATTACGGAAAATGGGAATGCTTGCCCGACATACAAATAACACAACCCGGACTAGTGGTTCGGACGTTTCAATTATTTCAACCGGATTGGTCCAACCAAATCAGTCAGTCACAGATCTTCCGGTTTGATATCATCTCCTCTGCGCCTTTCAACGGAAAAACCGAAGGAAACCCTCAATCGGATCGAACCGTGTAAGTTCTTCAGACCCGTTTCCATTTTTCAGCTTTATATGGGTGTTCTTTTACATTGCAAGTTATTTTTTACGTTTCTGAGAGAATTCTACTAATGCCTGGAAAAAAGAAAAAAGAATTAATTTTTACTGATGTGTGTGGAAAAAAGAATGGATTTGTGTGTGTGTGTGTGTGTGTGTGTGTGATCGGAATAAGGAATTGATTTTTGTTGATGTGTCTGAAAAAAGAATGAATTTTTACTTATCTATGGAATAGAGAAATGACTTCTACTGAGGAATTTTTGTTGTTGCCAGAATTATAAATTTTTTAGGAGGCTTATGTGAGTATAATCAAGAATGGATAGTGGTAGAATCCCAGAACGGAAATCCAAGCAAAAAAAAGACCCTGCATGGGAATACTGTGAAATATACATAAATGGTGATAAGAAGGAGCTCAGGTGTGTATTTTGTGGGAAGATATTTAAGGGTGGTGGAATTCATAGAGTTAAAGAGCATCTTGCTGGTGCTAAAGGTGATGGGGGCTCCCCTTGTTTAAAAGTTGATCCAGATGTTAGGGCTGCAATGCAAGAGAATTTGTCTGGGATTGTGGGGAAGAGGGGTAAAAAACAAAAGTTTATTGAACTGAGTCCGAATGTCGGTAATGTTACTGAGGATGAGAGTATCCGAAACAGCTATGACTTGAACACAGTGGATGGATTGCTGCAATTCCCAGATACCATCGAAGCGAACTCAAATAAACGTTCGAAATTTGAACATTCAAGCAGGGAGATGAATGGTGGACAGAAGGCAGTGGTGATAAGTAGAGGTCAAGCAATTAGTGAGGAAGAGAGTTTGGAGAATTTTGAACCTGCGGCCGTTAGTGCATTCAAACGCGATTCAGCTTGGAAGCATTGCGACATGTACAGAAATGGTAAAAAGGTTATACTGAGATGCCTATATTGTGGGAAGATTTTCCATGGTGGTGGTATTTATAGACTTAAGGAACACCTTGCTGGTCGCATTGGCAATGGTGCTATATGTCCAAAAGTTCAAGCAGACGTCCGTCTCCAGATGCAAGAGAGTTTACAAGCAAGTGTGTCGGGAAAACAAAAGAAGGGTGACAGTTTGATTCAGAAACCCTTTGTTCAGATACCGGAACCTGATAATGATGAGGCTCATGGTCTGTCTAGTGGACGGGATCTCAATAATGACTTCGATTTGTTTGGAGAGGACGACAAATTTGAACAAAGTCTCGACCAAATTGTGAATCAAGTAGTTGAGGGTAGTGGAGTGGGCGGTGTAACAGACAAAGGGCATGAAGGAAAATCCTACAATCTGAAGTTTCACAAGTCTTCTGCATTAACTGGCGAGAACAATAGAGCTATTGGTTCAAGATCCAAGGACAATGAAATTCAAAAAGAAATAAATAGTTTTCTGCTGAATTTGGGGATGGATTTTGATGCTACTGTTTATGCTCAGTTCCAAAGCATCATTCAGAAACTAGCTTCACAAAAATCACATGTGGTAACTCCTTCTTGGGACGATATACGAAGCCGGATTTTAAAGGATGCTGCAAAAGAGGTCAAAAGTGACATCGACAAATTCACTGGTTGTTGGGCAAGGAGTGGTTGTTCCATACTGTTTGATGAATGGATAACTGTAAAGGGCAGAACGTTCTTGAATGTTTTAGTTCACTGCTCCGAAGGGACCCTATATTTGAAGTCTCTGGATATTACTTGCATAACTGACTCTATAGATGCTCTTTATCAATTGCTTGCAAATGTGCTAGAAGAAGTTGGTGTTAGTAACGTGTTGCAAGTGATCACAAGCGGTGAAGAACGGTATATTGTCATTGGGAAAAGATTAGAGAACTTTTATCCTTCTGTTTTCTGGACTCCTTGTGCTAGTCATTGCCTTAGCTTGATTCTAGAGGACTTCGGAAGACTAGAATGGATAAATGAACTGCTTGAACAATGCAAATCAATGACAAGGTTTATTTACAACCACAATGTTGTTTTGAACATGATGAGAAAGTGTACTTTTGGAGTTGACTTAGTTGACATTGGAATGGCTGAGTCAGTGACAGATTTCATGACTTTGAACCGAATGATGAGTGTCAAAGACAACTTGAGAAATATGGTTAATTCAGAGGAGTGGGCTGAGAGCTCATATACAAGGGAACCAGAGGGACTGACATTGCAGGATAATATTAGGAATGAGTCATTTTGGTCAACTTGTGGCTTGATTGTCCGTTTAACTGAGCCATTATTGTCGCTCTTAAGAATAGTTGGGAATGAGAAGAGGCCTGCAATGGGCTATATATATGCAGGACTTTACAAGGCCAAAGAAGCCATCAAGAAAGAACTCGTCAGCCAGAAGGATTATTTTGATTTGTGGGATATCATTGATCGAAGGTGGGAACACCTTCAGCATCACCCACTGGTTGCTGCAGCTTTCTATTTCAACCCCAAGTTCTTCTACAGTACTGAAGTAAATGTTCCCCAAATGAAGTCGCGGCTGTACGATTCTTTGGAGAAGTTGGTTCCTGACCCAAATATTCAGGACAAAATTGTGAAAGAAAAGATCTCCTACGAGAATGCTGTTGGAGATTTTGGTCGTAAGATGGCCATAAGAGCTAGAGATACTTTACTCCCAGGTTCGTGCAGCTTGCCAGCTTCTATTTAATGTGGTTACTGTTTCTTCAAGGGATAATATTTTCTTCCTGTGACCGGCTTTTCTTCTGATAAGGTTGGGCACAAAATTTTGAGTACTCCCTATTGTAGGTTTTATAAGTATCTGATGCAGGGAACATAAGCTGTTGAAGTGAGATCATGACTATTTTTTAGTGATCTTAGATTTGATTTTTCTTGCGATAAATGAGTTTACTTGGAAAGAATGGGACAAAAAATGAGTTTTGATTAGTCAAAAAGTGTTCTCAAGTTGATTACCACACATATTTGTTATTTATTATTCCACATATGAATTTATAAGCTATCCCTCTCTTTCCATTTTGACTGCTGCAGCTGAATGGTGGGCGACGTATGGTGGAGCATGCCCAAACTTGTCCCGCTATGCCATCCGAATTCTTAATTTAACTTGTAGCTTGATGGCCTCGAAGCCTAAGCATCTCATTTTTGAAGATATACATGAAACGAAAAATTGCTTGGAGAAGCCGAGACTTGATGACCTTCTTTCTGTCCAGTACAATTGGTGGTTGAAGCAAAGGTAAATCAGTGTTGAACTCTTTAATACTAATTGGATCTTTGAAGAGAACATATTAGAAGAATGAATATGACATTGCTAGTTTTTTTTTTTTTCTAGGGCTTCCAAACACAAAGATCAGGGGTCTTCGGATCCTCTCATGTATGCAAAATCAAACACTGTCTCGCATTGGGTTATGAAAGAGGAAACTGAACCGAAAAACCTAAATGTTACTGATTGGAGCATAGTTCTGTCACCTTCCGGCAACAGAATGCAGTTTGGTTCTCAAGCTGATGATTATGAAGCCTTAGGTACAGGTAATGCATGCACACCACTTTTTACTCTCTCGTTTTCACTGTCTTTCATTTTTCTGATGAATAATTTGGCAAAAGAGAGGTCTTTTTCGCTGCTTATTTTTTGGCAAAACTCTACAGGGTTTGATGATATTGAAGTGTTCAATCGTGGTGTAAAAGAAGAAGCAGTAAGCTGATGACGTTCGGTTGTGTTTTGGTAGACAATTTGTATTCCTTTTAAATGAGGGGATGATTTACCCCTCCATCCATCCTTTAGGAAAACATATACTCCCTCCATTTCAAATTGTAGGTTGTTTTAGGTTTTGAGAGATTTTTCAAAATGTAGGTCGTTTTACAAATTCTAGGTAAATTAATGACTATTTTTTCAATTTTACCCTCAATAAATGATGCTAATTTATTTTCATTTAGTCTTGTTTATAGTTCCGATGTAATTAATGAGGGGTAAAATAGATATTTAACACATAAATTAATTGTTAGATGATTGTTTTCTTAGTTTACGTGCCAAGTCTAAAGTGACTTATATTTTGAAATGGAGGGAGTAGCTCCTCTCTTTCTACTAGTTAATTTAACTTGGAAATTCAAAAATTAGTTTACTTTTCTTTGTAAGTTTAGTGTGATGATCATTTAAGCATTTTTATGTTTTTTTTTTATTTTACATAATGTGGAAGCAAAAGTTTAATTACATAGTACAGCTCCTTAGATAAGGAGTGCTCGAGCTATCTAATAACAGGCAGGTTAACAACGTCTTCGTGAGTTTTACCAAAATATGTAACCCACATACCTGTCGTAAGCCTTTCTTTGCTAAAAGATCGGCTACACTATTACAATCCCTAAAGATATGAACAATTTCCACTCAGACCAATTGCGTCTTAGGAGGAGTCTGATCCTACACAACAGATTCGATTGATAACACCTATCCTCGATATTTAACAAAAGAGCCAGAGCCTCATAAGAATCAATTTCTAACACAATATGGGAAAGGCCAAGTGAAGAGGCACATTCCAGGCTGCCTGTATAGTCAAGACTTGAATGAAAATTATTACATCTGTCTTAAGCGTTCTATCTAGCTATAATGAAAAATTAATTTTTCAATTAGATAGGGCTATTTTAATAAGATCATGAACAACGGAGTTACACTGTTTCCTAAGGAACAAGAATTTACAAGTCACAAAATAAGATTTCAACAAATAGATGTAAAAAATTTACAACTAACTTAACCTTGATTGTTCACACTTTGGAATTTATACTCCTTTTGTGTGTGTTTTTTTTTTTTTGAAACAGAATATTCCTTCTCTTGTGCCTGGGGTAGTGTAAAAGGTTAGTTGTATTTAGCTCAATTATAAATAATTGTAACTCAACTCATTGTGACTATAATTAATCTTCTATTTATTTTTTTAATATCATGATTATCGCTTTTGAAAAAACAAGAAAAAAAAAAGAGAAGATTTCAACAAATAGAGATCCATCAACAAATAGAATTTACATGTATTTTATAAAAAAAATAAAAATAAAAAGGAATTCACATGTAGTATACTTTCTTTGTAGTATTCTACATGATTAATATTAATTTTTAAATTAAAAAAAAAAGGAAAAAACAAAGAAGCAGGAAATATATGATTGGCGGACACGCAAACTTCTGGACCCAAACCTAAGTATAAATACCCAAATCGACGAGCAATTCTTCCCTTCATACACAACAAGCAACAAAACAGAAAGCAAAGAAAAACAACCATGATGACTACAGCATAGAAGTTTGAGCGTTGATTACACTTTCTTTTTACAACAATGGCGTCTTTCTTTGAATTCCCCAATCACCAAAACCCTAGCTTTGCCGGAATCGATATCAGATCAAGGTGAGTTTTCAAGATTTCTTCGTTTAACCCACCCGTTTTTGTATGGAGTTCTTTGATTGTTGTTGGGTAGTGAATCGATGATTTTGTACGGATTATATCCTGATTTTGTTTAACTAGTATGAATTCATAATATTGGGAACGTGTTGGATAGAATTGAACAGATTGGAATTTTGGGGGGTTTTTTTTTCCTCCCTCTATAATTTGACGTAGCGATTTATGTGGTAAGTTGATAATTTTGGTCGAATTTCCGTAAGATTTGGGAGGGTGAGGGAAAACGTGACGTATACTTGATTAATGTAATAAGTATAATTGTGTTTATTGGAAAGATGAATGCATCAGTATTTAAGTTAGTATGCTGTTGATAATCTTGCTATACATGGTTGTATTAGCTCGTTTGTATAATAACACCTGCAAGTTGATTAAGAAGGAGTAGAGTGGTTTGAAACTATGTCTTCGTTGCATCTGCAATTTCTTTGGGGCTGATGATAAAGCTCTTATTCTGTGGTAGGAGTTTTATTTTTACTAGCTACACCAAAAGAACCAGAGGGGGAGTTTACAGAAGCTACATTGATGGGAAGGAAACAGCTGAAGGATCTGGATCCGAGAGAGGTGGATGTAGGCAATCTACATCCTCTCTCTCCGGAAATTATTTCTTATCAACCGACAATTAATATAGGTAGCTTTTAAGAATCAGATTTTCTGTTGTAATACATGCCCATCTGGTTATGGTTGTTACTGTATGATTCTATGTGGATTATTGAAGGTCTTATTGGACATGTGGCTCATGGTAAATCAACAGTTGTCAAGGCCATTTCAGGAATCACGGTAACTTATGGACCTCTTTTGGAACTTTGGTGTTTTTGTTTGTTTACACTACATTGACTTGTAAGAGGAGTTTGTGTCTTTGGACAGTGGGGACATACATGTTCTTGCAGGCTGTTTTTGAGTCTTTGAAAGATAGAGATCTGTCTATTTTTGAAGACTGCTGCCTTTTAGCTTTTCGGTCTTTGATCTTTATTGACTTACTCTTCCTGTTTTTTTAACTGCAGACTACTCGGTTTAAGTGTGAACTGGAGCGGAATATCACTGTTAAACTTGGATATGCAAATGCAAAAATTTTTAAGTGTGAAGATGCGTCCTGCCCAAAACCCATGTGTTTCAAGTAAGTATTCAACTTCTCGAGTCCGATTCTACAAACTTCCGTATATGTATTCCTAATCCTTGAAATATGGACACAGGGCATATGGAAGTAACGTGGGAGACCATCCTCAATGTGATATGCATGGCTCTGAGGAGAGGAAGATGAAACTTATTAGACATGTCTCTTTCGTTGACTGCCCGGTAATTTTTCTTTTAGATATTGAAATCATTAATCTGTCTATTTTTCTTCGTTCATATGCTTGGTCATTGTCACATGAGGGACTCATTGTTTTGCCTATCTTATGTTGTTTGTATCAATTCCATCACATCAAAACCCTGTAAAGAATCTGGTAGGCAACGACTTTCCAATTATCTTCTCGAGTCACTAGAACTTAGTATTGTGAATTCTGAAACAGTCTTTTATGCTTTTGCATGGTTGGTAATACTTGAACTCATTGTTTATGGATAGGTATCTTTGAGTCTAGACTATACAAACCTTTCGAAACTAAGGTTGTATTATCTCTATTCAGGGACATGAGATATTTATGACTAGGATGCTCAGTGGAGCAACAATTATGGATGGAGCTCTTCTCCTAATAGCCGCCAATGAAGATTTTCCCCAGCCTCAAACACTTGAGCATTTGTCTGCTGTAGAGATCTTGAACATTCAAAATCTCATCATTCTTCAAAACAAAGTTGATCTAGTTCCAGAAGAGGAAGCCATGAATCAGCACCTAGCAATCCGACAATCTATGGAGGTACCTTTGATTAAATTCTTTTATATTTCCTAGTTTTGACAACTCAATGTAGTTGTTTCATGATGCATATATTGATCCAGCTTCTGAGTTTGATAATGTTGCTCCATTTTAATTCAACCAGGAAACTATTGCTGCCAATGCACCGGTGATACCGATCTCTGCACAACTGAATATAGGCATTGATGTTGTTTGTGAATATATTGCAAAAAGGATTCCTGTACCTGTTCGGGATTTTATATCACCACCACATATGGTTGTGATTCGTTCATTTGACGTGAATAAGCCTGGTTCTGCTGTTGATGAAATGAAAGGCGGGGTCATAGGCGGAAGTATTACCAAGGTATATATTTACTGAGCTTTTCTTTTTCTTTTTGATTCTGAAGCCAAAAGAAGAAAACTGGGAACATAAGTATTTTCATTTAGTGCAAGTGTGCTCATATATTTCCTCGTTTACCCATTACACTCTTCTCATTTATAGAGGATCTGTCTTCATAATTTAATGTAGGATCTGGCATAGTTAGAACTAAGCTTGATTTTTTTCGCTCTGGACATTTTCTTACAAGTCTTTTTGTGCACAGGGTGTTCTGAAGGTTAATCAGATTATTGAGCTTCGTCCTGGGCTCACCCAGAAATATGCCAACAACAAGTGGATGTGCATACCATTATATACGAGAGTTGTTTCACTCTTTTCTGAACAAAATGAGCTCCAAATCGCAGTTCCTGGTGGTCTTATTGGTGTTGGCACAACAATGGATCCTGCACTCTCTCGCTGCGATGGGCTGGTCGGTCACGTGCTTGGTCAGGTGGGGACGCTGCCTGATGTGTATAGTGAACTCAAGGTAAATATATTATTTATTTGCTGGTAACATTGCTCTTGGATTTCTCGGTCATGTATTTTTCCGTTCAGGAAAATGTTTTTCTTTCCCTTCTTCACTTTTGGATTGCTGTTTGCATCTATTTTAACAACCTCATGTTTGTTTGCGAAATTTGATTTCTTGTTGGGAACTAAATTGATTTAGAGCTTTATAATAAAATGGATTTTTTGTTCTCCACTTTCCAGATTGGAAACATTCGTCTTCTTCGTAAACTCTTGGGAGCGGCATCGAAGGACGGTACAGCAGCAACAGTGGAACGGCTTGCAAAGGGGGAAACTCTGCTGCTGAACATTTCAGCCATGGCAAAAGGTGGGGAAGTTCTTAAAGTAAGAGGTACAAGTGCTACTTTACGGCTCAACCAACCTGTCTGCACGAGTACTGGAGAGAGAGTTGTCATCAGCAGGCGCGTTCAGGGACATTGGCGACTGATTGGTTGGGGTGAAATTGAAGGTGGAACTAGACTTGATATCCCTGCTGCCCCCAACTGGATTATGTGATGAGGAGATCTAGTCTACCAGTTTTCAAGTACTTTTGAGAATCATGTCTTCTTTTCTGTGCTTCATTTATCTATGATTTGGATTTGGATTTGGATTTGGAGGATTGAATGAATTTTAACTTCTTTTGTGTGATCAAATGTTTTGGATTAAAATATTTCCGAATTGTGTGTTAAACGAGCCTTTTGTTCTGGAAACAAACAACAAAAGTTGGTGAAGATATCTAATCACATAGCTAAGAGCCAGAAAAATCCCTGCCAAAAAATCGCAATTACAAGGTTTAGAGAGTTCTCTGATTGTGTCACAAAATTAGGTGAAGAAGAAAAAAAAAAGAAGGCTAAATACAAGTCTCACCTATCTACATTTAAGATATACTACTACGAAGTTTGCCAGCAGAGATTTTTCTTACCCTCCTTCAGGATCTCAAAAGCAAATTTGTATCTTTCTGATGATGCTGTTCCAGCCTCGATAAAGTCATGGGCTTCTTCTCGCAAGCTCCACTTCATCAATGCCTTGAAATCTTGCAAACTACCACCCGAATCAACATCTCGTAGCATGCCCAATTTTGCATTTTTTGTCCATCGATGCAATACATAGTGGGAGGGAAGTTCGCAAATGTTCATCATCTGGAACACCTTAAGTGCATGCCTACAAAGGATTCCTTCAAACTCAAACAGCTTACAACTGCAACTGACGTTGAGGTTTGATGCATTGAATGCAACTGTATTCCGCTCTTCTCCATTTCCATACTTCTGCACCAAATACCGACTAATAGCACCTTCGACGTTAATCCTGATTCCACCATAACTATAGCATTCCAAAACCTCTTTCTGGACCACTTTAAACATTTTCATTGTATAAAGCCTTTGACATTGTTCTTCAATCGGATCTTTGGTACGCAAAATTGGTTGCAAGTTAAATGAGTTGAAATCTTCTTTCCTTTCTTCCTCTCGACGTTGTTCAACCACCTTCTCATACTGTACAATAAATTCATCCAGGGAAGTTTGTGCCATCAATACTGTACCAAAATAGGACTTAAAGCTTCCATCCAATGGAATACCTGCAAAGAATGAGCTTTTCAAATGCAATGGAACCCAGCTCCGACGAACCCTGTACATTTCCTTCAACCAGGAATTCTCTTTCAAGTTATATTTATCCATGAGAACATCCCATGCAGAATCAAATTCACCAGCTGTCTGGCTTTGCGAAACGCAAGCCTCAAATTCACATTTGAACTTTGAATTGACGAGAAGTGCTCCGAGGTTTTCTTGTTTTTTTCCCTGCATTTGCCAGGAAGAAAATCGATGATGTGTTCTAGGAAATACACGAGCGATGGCATATTGAATGGCTTTGTCCTGATCAGCTATTATTGATCCAGGGCATTGCCCAGACATTGCCCTAAGCCATGTTCGGAACACCCAAGTAAACGATTCCTCAGATTCATCTGCAATTAAAGCACAACCCAAAAGCACTGGTTGCCTGTGATGATTAACTCCAATGAATGATGCAAACGGCACCAAAAATCTATCCCTATGATACCCTGTATCAAAAACAATAGCATCCCCAAATTGAGCCCCATGAAATCTAGATCGTGCATCTGCCCAGAAAAGGTTTGCAGCTCGGCCATTATCCATCTCCACAGCATAGAAGAAGCCTGTATCTTCTGCTTGCCGAGTCTGAAAATATTCTAGAAGTACAGCATACCAATTACTTCCAATATTACCCCCTCGACGTCGTTTAACAAGACTGAGTCCACCATTAGTTTCAACTAAATCCAGATGTTCCAACCCATTAACTTCTTCCTCCCTGGATCCCTTAGCCGCAAGAGCAGTTCCTTGATCAGTAGCCTCCACGATGCCAACTTCATGATTGTGGTCCTTCTGGAAACGGTCAACAACCCACCTTCCTGATTCTTGTCTTTGTATCCTCATAAATACTCCACAACCCACTCTAGAAGGGTGCTGGTGCCCTTCCTTTGAGCAGACAAATCTCCGGGATGTAATTGAACCGTCATTTTTAGATCGGAACAACTGACCAATCCGAACTCTAAATCCGTTATTAGCTGCATACATGCAATAGAATTTATATGCTTCATTAGCAGAAACGAACTCTAGACCTTTGTACGGTTCACCATGGAGGTCTCCGTTGGACCTGTCCCTTTTAGGGCATTTGACGTCAATGATTTTAGATGGACCTTCCTCGTCATGTGACCTTATCCCTGTTCTAGTAGAAACAGCAAGTGTCGGTCTGGGAGTAGGAAGAGTTTGTCTTGGTGTACGGGATGGGCAAATAAGTTCAAGTTGATGGTTGTGTTCCTTGTGGACATTAGCCATTACCCATTTCCCTGAATCACCCTTTTGCACCCTGATGAAAGCAGGACAGCCAGTTCTTGAATTGGCCTGAAAACCTTCCTTTGAACACACAAATCTACGGGAAATTACAGAACCATCCACCCTGGACCTATAAAGCTGGCCTATTCTGATCCTAAATCCCATTTGTGTAGCATACAGATTATAAAACTCCTGAGCATCTTCTGCAGAATCGAACTCCATCCCCACATGTGGTTCGACTTTTGACACTCCCTCATGCTCCTTATGGCCATTGTTCTTTGTTACCAATAGGGCAACCGGTTTGACCATTACAGTCACGGCTTTCTCAAACTCTTGTCGGTTCATATCAATATCTACGATAAGTAACAAAGAGTATCTCATGAAGTCGGAGGAAGAATTCACATCAAACAGACTTAGCAAACCGGCCAAACTCAATAACTGAAAATAAATAATCCAGACAAATTATTGGCACAAAAAGTTTCTTCTGGCAAACTCCAAACACAAAAATTTGGATGTCCAGATCCTATAATTCGAAATGGCTATGCACAGATACAACAAGGCAACAAAATAGCAGAACAACACAAATTACCGTCTAAAAGTAAACAGCAAGGCACGCAAGGATATTTGAATTACAAGCAATATTCAAATCACTGTCTTAGTTTTCTACCTAGCAGCAAGAGAACACTCATCAATTCAAACTTCAACCAATTTAAGTAAATACCACAGACCTCAAAGTCATCATCATAATAATAGTAATAATCTGCCAGACCACCATTTCCAGTAAGCACAAGAAAGGGAACAAAGCAGGCTAATCTCACAAGGTTTGAATAAAAAAAAAAACCCGGAAAAATTCGAAAGATACAACAGAATCAGATGATTTAAAATGATGAACAACACTACAAAATGAAATAAAAAGATTAGGGTTTTACCTTTTGCATATCTGGGGTAAGGAGCTGAATGGAAGAATGCTTGCTGGGGCTTTAGCCAATTCTTTCCCTCACAATAACATTGGAACCGGCAAAATAACCCCCTTTTAGTTGCCTTCACCTAATCAAATATAAAATCAACCAGCAAAGCACAAACTGGAACAAATGGAGTGGGGACAAAATCCCAGAGACCCTTTACTGACAATTGAGTAAATTGATTCCTGTATTACATACGGAAAGGTGTAAGCTTTTCGCCATTTTCTGGGCGGTTTTTATATGTATCAGGTGAACCGGATTTTAGTCTTTCATGTTCGGGTTACCGTAAAATTAAACAATGGTTTTTTTTAATCCTTGATAGAACTAACATTATTAAAAAACAAATATTTATATTATTATAATTGTTGTAATGCAATTGAATTGTATTTTTGTGTTAGCAAACTAATTATAGTACAAGATTGTAATGATATGCCTCCCCATTTTAGTGGTTTTTGTCTAGTTTCTGATTAGCATCCATGTTTAAATTGATGTTTAGAAGTGATAGACGAACCTAAAATTATAAGAATCTAAATTAGAAAAAAAAAAGTATAAGTAATGTATACACGTACAAGTTTCTCTTGAATTAATTTTTTTTTTTCTTGTTTTCTATCATCTTCTCTTCTTCATCAATTTCTACAGATCTATGAGATTTAGATCTATGAGATTTATATTAATTGGCCTTCAAAACTAGGAAATTTATTTAATTGTTTCTTGATTCCTTTTATGCCGTCTCCATCTCATTCCCGTCACTAATTGACAAATTGGGTAATTATTTTCTTTTTTTTCTTGTCTCTTTTTTTTCTCCCGTTTAATTTTCTTCCCCATCTTCCCTTCCATGGGAGGACGGGAAATAATTATCTCTCTTTCTTTTTAGTATTTTAATAGAATAAATTTAGCCGTAAGTATATCTTTGATTTTGCTGACCTTGTATTATTAGCATCTTGATGTGTTAGTAGTTTGTCAATATATATCGTTCTATTGATTGTAATTTAGTAGTGTGTGATCTTTAGTCTATGATTTTATCTATGATTTTACTGTCATAGTTCATAGTTATGGTTTATGTTTGAGGATTTACTGTCAAAGTACATCAATGTTTTAGATCTACTTTCGTGGGCCTTCATCTGATGATAAGTGAAAGATTCGAGATCAGAGTTATTCTTTGGTACGTGATACTTTCAACAAGTATTTGCGGATGCTATGGAAGAGTTTGTGACTTAGTCATCTGCAGTGAAGATCGGTTGATTCTTAGAATTCTAATCGATTGTAATATGTTAGTGATTGTAATCTTCTATCAGTTACACGTTTTCCAACAAAGTTAATGATAGTTTCTTTTATCTCAAAAAAATTATTTTTTTTCTCGTAAATTTGCCGTTGTTATCTCCACGTTGGTACAAAATTCCACAAAAAAGAAAAAAAAAAAACAATTTCTAGTAAGACCAAGAAAACTCAAAAAGTCTCCTCACAACAATTACCTAGCAATTCACCATTTTCCAACTTGCAAAATACTATAAACTACTTAGTAATTTATTTATTTTTAATCACACATTAAACAGTTGTATATCTTTTAATTAATTAATTAATCTTTCCAGAAAAAGCCCGCACAAAGAGTGACCTCGCATATAAAACAAAAACTCCCTTCTACGCCAAAAATAAAACACAGAAATACTGATAATCATCAAATAGAGAGGAATTAGAGAGACAAAGTAAGAGAGAGAAAAAGAGAGCAGCCATGGATACGTACGGAACGAAGAGCAGCAAGGCAGATTACGAGGTTGACCTAGAGGCCGGTGGGAATTTGCTCTACCCAGGGATCGGCTACGGTGAGAATCAACTCCGGTGGGGTTTCATTCGCAAAGTCTACGGCATCTTGTCCGCTCAGATCCTCCTCACCACCTTGGTCTCCGCCATCATTGTGCTTTACGAGCCTGCTAATCAGCTCCTCCGGGGAAATTCCAGCCTCTTGTTGTTCCTCTGCATCCTCCCCTTCGTCCGTAAGTGCTTCTTCTTCGATTTTCTTCTCCTTTTAATTTTCTTCCATTTCTAGGGTTTGATCGCGGTTTGAATTTCGAATTTATTATATGAAATGACATTTTAGTTAGGGTTCCTAAGTGGTTTGGTCGGATCGACCGGTGAAGTTTAGATGCTGGCTGTGCTTTGATTGATTTCTGCATCGTTATGCTTCATTTCACCTGCCTATAGGCTACAATTGAATATTCAATCACATATCCTTAGTAATTAAAGGCACTATCATTTAATTTCTGGAGGGGAAAACAGAGAAGGAAAAGAAAAAAAAAGAAAAAAAAGGAGCATAGCTCTTTCATTATGCATTCACAATTTTGTTATGTTGACTTTAAGATTTAGCATGTGTTGTACAAAACTTTTAGTATATTACTTCCTGGTTTGTGTTGGGCAGCCCTAATAATTGATGTTTGCTGGTAATATTATGTTGCTTTGTGTTGTATTTGATGGTTAATCTCCTTATGGCTTATTTTCTGCTTTGTTGTGATTGACAAGAAACATACTCCCTTTCAGAATTGTGGCTATTGCTTATGTTGTTTAGAGCCTTATATTTGATTCAAGTGATTACATCTGAATTTGGGCAACTATTTTCTTATTCCCTGTTTGTATCCAGTGTGTTCGAATGAAATACTAAATGGTTTTTGTCATTTATATGGTAAATGACCTTGTTGATAGACTCGTGTAGGTCTCTTTCTGTTCACTTTTCCCAACTGACTTCTGCTAATGTGCTTTCGGACTTGATAATTTGTTTTGATCCTTCTCAGTTCTGTGGCCGTTGCACGTGTATCAGCAAAAGCATCCTCACAACTTTATCTTCCTTGGACTCTTTACTACTTCTCTAAGTTTGACTGTGGGAGTCAGCTGTGCTCAGACAGATGGTATGTCATTTTTACATTTTGTATCCTGAAAGAAATTTTTGATGGTGCAACTTTTCTTTGTTGTATTCTTATTTTAGATAGTGCTGACTGCTGATTTTCTTTTTCCCGTGCGTGTTTTCAGGCAGGATTGTGCTTGAAGCTTTGTTCTTGACATCTGCAGTTGTCCTCGGCCTTACTGGATATACTTTCTGGGCTGCCAAGAAGGGTCATGATTTCAGTTTCCTGGGGCCAATTCTCTTCACTAGTCTTTTTATAATCATACTGACTGGCTTTATGCAGGTTCGTTTTTGCTTAACTTATATTTTTGGAACTTCATACTTCTGCAGAGTACACACTTCTCTTTCGCTCACGCTGTACTCAAATGAACCAAATAGAAGACTCATTGTCAAACTTTTCTGTGATATAGGATGAACTTAGACACACTTATTTCCTAGATTTAGTTTCCATTATATTTCTTCCCAAACCATTAACGTATATGTTTGCGAGCTCCTTACTTCACTTATATCTTATTGACTCATTTTCAAAAAAATATCTTATTGACTCACAATGTTTGCATGTTATTTCACTCTTGCAGATGTTTTTCCCACTTGGTTCGACTTCCAGTGCCATCATTGGTGGCCTAAGTGCTATTGTGTTCTCAGGATACGTGGTCTATGACACTGATAACCTGATCAAGCGATTTACATATGATGAGTACATTTGGGCGTCTGTCAATCTTTACCTCGACATCCTGAACCTGTTCCTCACCATTCTGCAAATGCTCAGGCAGGCAGAAAACTAAGATGTCTTAGGTTATCACCCCGAATTGCATAGTGCATGGATGATACACTAGGATTGCTTTAAATTCCTGCTCTGTGAATGCAGAAATCCTTGTGGATATTGTACATCTCATGGTACTGCTACCTGACATTACTACTAAAAGTCTATAACTCTGCTTTGGCTTTGTGCCGTTGATGACCGAATCAAGTGTATTACTCATGAATGATCCAATATTTGTAGTTTCTCTGCCCTTGCCCTTGAGCAAATGTAGATGGATGAAACTGTTAAGTCTCCCTGTTTTCGTTTGCAAGGCTTTATGTTCTGTGCTTGTTTGTTGGGTAATATTCCTTCATCATTGCGATTGGGAAGGGCGAACCTATATGTGATGTTAACCAATGTGCAATAGAAGACGTACATTTGACTCAAAAATGTGAGTAATATATATACATCCACAGAATTTCTTTCAAATTAGTCATTTTTTTCTCATAGATTTTGTGATCTCGGCATTGGTAACGAAATCAAAAAAGAAAAAAAAAATCTTTCAGTCTTATAATTATTATAATTATTGTTCAATTTGGATTTTTATATTTAGTATTATTTCCGTTTTAAAAAAATAGTTTTAAATTTGTACTAAAAAAAGTACAAAATTTAAAACTCAATGTGGACTATTTTTTTTTTTTTGGGATGGAGAGACTACAATATAAGGGATAAGGAAGAGGACCAAAGAAAAATTATCATTGCCATCAAAAACTCAAAAAGTCTGCTCACAAAGTCACAACATTTACCTAGAAATTCACTATGTTCCAACTTGCAAAATAAACTACTGTAAAAGTTATTTATTAGTAAATCACGCATTAAACACCTTTTGATTAATCAAAGGTACAAGCCGCCAAAGCGTATCACACAAGAAAGCCCGCACAAAAGAGTCACCTTCACCGACGAAGACCTTCAACGCGAGAAAAAACACACACAGAAGACTGATAATATTTAAACAACAACAACAGTGGATTTATTCCCAACTGGGTTGGGGTCAGAAATGAATTTAGAGAGGGAACATAAGAGAGAGAAAGTGAGAGAGAGCAGCCATGGATATGTACGGAACGAAGAGCACAAAGGCAGACCACGAGGTTGACCTGGAGGCTAGTGCTCCACCCTGGCATCGGCTCTGGTGACAATCAACTCCGATGGGGTTGTGTTCGTGACAAGTCCAAATAGTACGGCCCGTTATTAGGTCGGCCCAAATTCAGTGAGCGGTCCAATCGACCTGGAATCTTTTAGGGCGGTTGTCAATTATTTTCCTACCAAGAAAAGGTTCCATAATTTAGCTCTATAAATAGGGATCAATCCCTATTATCAAAGGTACGCTCCACGTACCACAATTCATACCCTAATACAATTACTCTTACTGACTTAAGTATCGGAGTGTCTATCCTTGGGAGACCTCGAGGCCCTCTTTTGCAGGTTTTAGGGTTTTGACTCCCCCATGGCCGCCGTAGCAACCAACCGGAGACATTGATACAATTTCATCCATCGACAAGTGGCACGCCCGGTGGGATCCGTAGGGTTTCCCTAAAAACAAGTTTTCTCAAGATTATGAACGAGATAGAACGTCTCTTTTCAATGATCGGCGGCCATGATCAGAAGCATCAGCTTTGCCAAACCAAAGCATCTATCCAGGTTCTACGTATTCCATTAATATTAGTCATAATATTATTGGCCTGGTAGAAATTTGCTTAAACTTTAAGTTAGAAATAATGTGCTATTGGCTTCGGTGGCCGAAGCACAACGTATGACTAATCAACTTGATGGTATACATGAAAAAGGTTACAACATTAATAGCAAAGGACATGATTGCTAATCTTAAAATTCTTTAATTAACCAAAGAGCATTATTTCGATTACTTTAAAGGAGAAAGCACTCTTGTTTGCTTCTTCTCGTCTTTTATTTTTGGTGAAAGGTTCGTGGGACGCTGGAATTTTCCCGAAGACAAAATTCTTGGGAACAAGCAATCAGCTCTTCGAGGCGGCGACGGAAACCTCCTCCAAACCACCATGCCCGGACAAACCCGTCCTCACAACAAATTCTCCTACGAAAAGATGTCAACGATGGCAGACGTTTTCTTCAATTAATTTCCCGAAAGACGACGGTTGATAGATCTCGTCTACAAATAATTCAATTCTGCCACCCAGGTTCTACTTTCCATGATTAAGTTGTAATTTTCAATTACTAATCAGATTTGACATAATTTAGCTACAAGTCTTATCACTTTTCTTTCTTGTCAAGAAAAGCATGTTGCTTAAGGAAAATAGGTATAAATCTTAGCTTCATAATAAGTTTGTCCTTATTATTTTCAATAATGAGATCTACAGACCATGCAGTCACCTAGACAAACTTTAATTAAAGAAACCCTCAATGGCCATTAGATTCTTTTTCTCGGGGATCAAAAGCCTCATATGGGTTTGCTATATATTTTCACAATGGTAAGACTAGTATGGTGTTTTTAAGATCATCTCTCGTAACTTGCATGTCAAAGAAAAGTTGATGCTATGTGCACGGTTAGCATATATTCTGCTCATGAAATTACTAATTACTATAGCTCTAATGGAGCTCATAATATACCTTTGACATCAAGTTTTTGTATTCTGATTCTATGTTCTTGATCGACAATGCTTTTATCAAATTATAATACGCCCGCATGCTTTCGAGGTCCAATGTTTCTTCAACCTGCATGCTAGAATGGCTGCATTTAGGTTTCCATTGAAATTTGAGTCAAACCAAATAATTTCGCTCAATCAGAGAGCCTATTACAAATCCCATCGCGGTGAATCAATGTAACTTAATGACATGGGTTCCTTAATTTTATAATTAAGCATGATTGTTTTATTCTTATCAATCATGATTTTTCACGATAAATCTTTTGAGCTTATGATTGACTAAAGAAAATATTATCCATCAAATTTGGTTCGAGAGACTATAGAACCTCCTCAACCTAAGCAGGATCGAGAAGAAAATTAGCCAGTGAGGGCTACGAAGCCTCCAGTTACGGCAAAAATTCAAGCAGCCACAACTGCTCGACAAGAATAGCTCCTGGACCATCAAAGGACATTCTGGGACAAAATTCTTTTTAACTAAGCAAAATTTACAATTTAGTCCCTTCGAATATTATTTATCATTCTTGTCTCTAATGGCTTCATTGTTTTTATACAAATCCTAACTTTATAGCAAGGGACGACCTGATATCTCAAAGATCACATCTCCTCAAAGAGGCGGACAAATTCCTCGGGACTTGAGTACAGGGCCACTCGTTTGTTTCCAGCAGCACAAGCTGAAACACTTCTTTCCACATAATTGCACGAGACATAGACTTTAATGACAGATAAGTTACTGTAGCCTTCTATTACAAATAAGTTCATGTCATGCATCATTGCCTTCCGAACTTATACATTTTGAGGGTGACAGGTTTATATCTCAAACATCATTATGCATAAATGCACATACTATGTCTCCTTGAGCCTGTTGTTGCTACAATATTATAGTAGCAGCATGTTAATTGTGTGCTTTCTAATTGGGTCTTATATGAATCAATATATCTTTGCCATCATAGCAAACATAAAAGTCCTTGAAAAATATTTCAATAACACTTACAAATTGCATGGCATGCATTATACTATTTCCTATATTTTTATATGAAAGTAAAATTCACTTGTTTGATTCACTCTAAGCCATACACAAATTTTGTATGCTCACCAAGGGTACAACCACCTTGTTATTAGATCAATTAACTTTTTGTCCAAAGTGAACAGCTATGCAAGCATAGCTCAATTTTTCAAGGGACCGAGGGCACATACAAATCGTCCCTGCGACAAGAGTAGAGACAATATCCTCGATTGATTTTTTTAAAAAAAAGAGATAACTAGCCCTAAACTTACTCGTGTCGCATTGTCATTCCAATCCAGTGAAATATGCAGTTACAATAAGCTCGAGCATGGCGCAGACGTACTACTTGGTTTTGTAGGTCTTACAGTAAGGCGATTCGAGGAGCATCCTTCTCGAATCTCGAAGCAACCCGTTCCAAGGGACAATAATCTGCCCAAATAAATAAGATAAGTGCTCATCAAATTGTGAGTTTTCAATAGGGGAAGTTTCACCTCCATTCCAAGTCTGCTACATTGTGTATATTTATTTGAAAACTCTAGCAATGATATATCCTTCGATGTACTCATGAGAACTATATGCAACTTGCATAACAACATTCTTTGATATGCCATATAACTTATACATGCAACACTGCTTGTCAATTATATGCTCTCCAGATACTAGAACTTTTCAAATGCTGAATATTTTTGCAGAACTTGCAAAAATGCAAGAATGACAATAGCCCCTCAATGATTCAAGAGTGTAATTAGGCCACAGTAGCCTTCAACAAATGAAGGACCAATACACGGTATATGTCAAGAATGAGCTCCGTTAACAATAATAAGGAGCTTCTCGACAAATGGGTATCGCCACCCTGACTTGTGGATATCCCTGGAAGCGCTCCAAGTGATAAGTGATGCGCTCTCCTTATAATATTATTTCCGCTATATATAAACATCTGCATTACTACACGAATGTAACGATAATTCATGAGCATGGAATAATTCTTATGGCACATTAGACATATGTGTTTCTCGAGACTCTTCAATGTCCTCGAACTTTCGCATGTGAACTTCTTGCACGAAAAGTTTTTCTCACATGTAGGATTTATTTACCAATTACTTGTATCATCGCATGTTAGTAATGAAGCTTGGTGCTACAGCTTTTACATATACATGGCTTTGTTATCTCCACGCGTAAATTATCTCGACCTATCTTACAGTCGATAGCCAAGTCATAATCATTTCCTTTTCTTTTGAAAGGGGGCAGATACCCCTCTCGTATTTAAAGTTGTCGGTAATATGCCCTAAAAGTCATAGTGCAGGATGGTTCCTCTTCCTTGAGCCCTAAGTCGCAGTGGATCGTTGTATCTACTCTACCGACTAGCCAACTTGAAGTTACTATATCAGGGCCATAGTAGCTCTCACATTTAATGGTCCAGCCCCATTGCAAATCTCCATGACTCTTCAGGAGTCCGTAGTAAGTACAAACCCATGGAGAAGCAGGTCATGATCTCTGCAACATCCTTTCATAGCCGTTCTGAGCTAATTAGACCATGGCTTCGATAGTCTTGCTCGTATCACGATGAGATCTTTCCACTTCTTACATTTCACGTCTCGAAATGACTGTTTTTGAAGGGGGCAGAGTCCCTTTATAATATATTGTATTCCATGCCATTTCTCTTACTATGATAATTTGTTACTCACTAATTCAACTATAAATGCACGAGTAAGTGTTTTGTCAGGATCAGAGACCAGGTTGGTTGATCATGGTGTCTATGCTTGAGAAGCATCCCCATCAGATTAATGTGTCCTTGGTAGTTATCATCGAAGAGTTCAGGAAAATACTCCCTCGACACTAAGGTACACTCGAATGATCCCTTCG